TATTTCTTCGAAGATTACTACGCTTTTGTTTGAAAATCTGTATTTATTTGATGAATTTGCCTCGATACCCGAAGTCCATAATCTAATATATAAAATTTTCGTGTCACAGTGTTAGACACGATACTTCTCCGAAACGGCTTTACATTTTAATGAAATATCAAGTGCATATTCAGTAGGTCTGAGAATCGCCTAATTTATTTTTCACACCTGGAGGAGGTCGTGGGACCGTTTTATCTTAGATTAACAGGAAGACTGCAATTCACTCCAGGAAAAGGACCGGAGACTTACCTTTTCAAAAAAACTCTTATGCTTGTTTGTAACGGGTGTTCTCCAAAAGTAAGAGACGGATTGACTTGAAATTTCGTCAGATTGTTTCAATGATACCTGGGAAGGGTTTCATAAACAAATTTTTTTAGAAGTGGACCAGGGGCTGACCTATTCGAAAAAATGTTATTTATGGTTCGAATTACTTGAAATTCGGTACATAGGAAGTTCTTTTATTTAAATTAACAAGAAGACTACACTTCTCTCCGGGAAGTGGGCCAGCGACTGACTTATGTGCTATTTGGTGCTTAGGCAGCTTTTTGCTTAGATTAACAGGAGGACTCTTCTTCTCTCCTGAAAGGGTCGATTACTTGAAATTCGATACATAGGTAGCCTTTTTCTTAGTTTAACAGGAACATTACTTTTGTTTCCAGGAATTGTACCTATATAATAATCGAACGGTTCTATTCGAAAGAATCGTTTATATGGCTTGGATTAATGTATAAAAATTATCGGAAGTGGACCAAGCGTCACCGAGCAACCAACCCGGTGATGGCATCATTCGTTGAATTAAGCAGAAGCTTTGTTGGAAGGCACGCCGGTGCATGTACGGCATTTACGATCGTAAAAGCCGAGTAACTCCATAGCTTGTGTTATGACAATTTTCATTTTAATGAATTATGCAGAATAGATACATATATTGTATCCAAGTAAGAGAAAAAATAACTCTCAGAACGATACATATCTGAAACCGCTTAATTTAATTAAAGTAATTTTATGGGAACGGTCCATGTTTGCGTGTTGACAAACTGTCTTTGTTGTTTGTTCTTGCTTGCCTAATATAATATTGCTTTCTGCTGATCGAGTTCATTCAAATAATTCAAATTCAGATTTGAACTATCTACATATTTTTTATATCTGTGTAATATAAAGGCATGTAATTGAGGCGAAGCGAAGTTCGCTAGGTCAATCTCTTCATTGACGGTGGGTATATTCAGATGTCTATGGATATTTTTGTTTCGCTTTTATTCTCAATGTTTTCTACTGCAATCTTTGTATTATATTTGTGTTGCATTACTAGGCTCCAAACATCCCTATATGTTTTATTGTGGCATCATAAAGAAGGGAATCGTTTTTAAGGCTGAGCTGAGATTTCTTTCCCAATAGCCAAAAATTGGATTCAAGAATATTGTGGAACGTTTTGGATAATGATTTTTTGACTTTATGAATTCAATTCATTTGCCACACTTTCCGTATTTCATTTGTTATACGATATATATACTTGTTCAATTGTGCCGTTCGTTTCTCGTGAGAACTTAATTGTGTGTAGGTAATAATAATATAATATTATTTTCATGGAGGGAAGAATAGCAGCACATTTTAAAAAGGCGGCAGGGTTGCGTCTTTACCTGGTTTAGTTATCATAATTATCTGCGACTTCTTCGACATTTGTGGATAATATCATAACATTAAAATGGCACTGATAGCTTTGCAAAAAAAAAACAATTAGCAATTCTTTTAGTATTTTTAGTGAGCTATGATCATCTTCTGGGGATTTTTTCGGGATCTTAGGCGGTAATAATATTTTTTAGTTCGGATACACATACTCTGCCCATAACAGTGTGTCTTGGAGCAATATGGTACGATGACATTATTTGTAGCGGTATTTAGTTGAAATGGGCGGCCGCGGTAGCCGAGCGGTTAGCATTGCGTATTGACATTCGGAAGGCTCGGGTTTAAATACCGGCGCCACCAAACATCCAAAATTTATGGAAAATTAATTTAAAATGAAATTTACGTTAAATTTTCAAATTGTGGTCGTCCCTCGCCAGGGAATGTTCACCTCTCCGAGTATATTTCGGACATGAAAAAACTGTCCTCGTAAAAAACCATCAGCCGTTCGGAGGCGGCTTAGTATAAACATTGCCATAGGTCATTTGACCAGTATTTGAACCGTGTAGGCTGGAAGGGGCCGGAATGGAAGTCTTATATAGAAAAAACTGGTTTAGTTTGGCTTGACTACCTTGAACAAGTTTAGACTATAAGCCTTTGTCTACCGGACAACATCTGTAATTAGCGGTGTGATTGCCACCGCAGTTTCCAAACTTTTTAATGTTGTGAGACAACAAGTCGTGCTCCTCAATTGCAGGCCTAAAAAGTGTGTTATAAAACGGCCATGACGCTAAAGATGACTAGATACGAAACTTACTTAAAATCACTCAAATTGCAGATCAGGGCGTTCCCCATCTCACATTCTAATGTAGGCAGCGGTGTCAGCTTGGGACACATTCAACATCTGATGTGCAAAACGCACCAATATGCCAATAAAAAAATCCATTGTTTTTTTTTTCAAAAGAAATTTGCTTCAGCAGTAAATATTACGAGGAGCCTTTATTTCATGCCCGAAATACACACCATATTCTCATATTGGCCTAAGTTGTATAAAGTGATTTTATTTCATAGGGGACTTAAAACTCCTTTGACCTTTGACTTGTCCTAAACTATAGTTATACCTCGAATGAGGTATACATCATCGGCATATAACAAGAAAGACATATCATTTATAAATAACAGAAACAGAATCGGACCGAGATGGTTACTCCTGATGAGACATTAATTAATTGAAATACAGGTCTGTCGATGCAACAAAATTTACTTTGGTATTAAAATTTACTATTCATTAAATTTTGCTACTATATCGTATTCTGAATTCACTGTCACTCTGTAAGTTTTGTTATCCGCCGAACAGATTTTTAACTTGGTTTTGTTAATTTGAGAAAAAAAATTAAATCAAAGTATTTTGGCATATTTTACGTCTAGAACTCATTGAAGGTGAAGAAAAAAGTGCAAAAAGCTGCATGTTAAGAAGTTTTTTATTCATTTTAGTTTTTTTTGTCGTGCTGGTATTTATTCTATAATTAGGTTCAATTGTTTATGACCTAATTAATAAACAAATAAATAAAACTTACTTATTTTTTTGCGCTTCATCTTCACTTTCGATGCAAGCATTTTTCTTTTTACTTTACCAACAGCCAAATGTAATTTGACACGGTCTAAAAAAGAAGTGCTGCCACAATATTTTCAATCATTGTAACATGTGCGCTAGAATATTAAAGCCAATTAAAAAAAAGTTACTTTGCCGCTTTTGGAGTTATAAAGTTGTGAAGAGATCGAAAATATTATCCATGCCATTCGTATTGCATGACATCAAAAGTTAGAGTTGCTAGCGATAGAAATTTTTGTTCAAAAATAATATAAATTTACATAATTTTATTAGTTTTCAAATTGAAATTTACAATACATTTGTTCGGCATTAAACTATTCAGAACGATTTAATTGTAATTGTTTTTAATTAAAAAAATATATACCATACAAGCTTTTAGGGTTTTAAGGCCAAAACGTTACGCTGTTACATATATAAATTTATATTCGCAACCCACAAATTGAATCAACTTCGTCATTCCATTCATTTCCATCTTGCCGTAACTCTGTATTCTATAAATCTTTGAATTTATGTATATTAACTCCCGGGGCTGTACTTCATAACGGTGCTTTTAACTTGGATTATTTGCCAGATTTCTAATTTTTGTGAATTTTAATATGGTTCTTGAGATATATTTTATACAATTTTATATAATCTGAAAGATCACAACTGTTTTTCAATATCGATGTCGAGGGAATTCAGAATTGTAATAATAACTGTAAGTTATTTACATACAAGTTTTATATTAGCGAATATATTCATAGGTTTAATGCGAATGAGGATTCAGTTGTTACTTCTGCCCAAGTGACCAATTTTTCGAACATTTTTCGAACAGTTTTAATCTTCCGCAATGTGACACTGGTATATTCTATGGTGATTATATGTATTGGCTATTTTTTACCGCCATTTATGTAAATAACGGTCGGATAAGTAATGTTGAAAAAAGTATTACTTATTGAATAAGACATATGGTGAAGACCGAGATATTGTTAGTAAATCTCTACTAACAAATCAAGGATTCGGTATTGCTTGAGCATTATCTGGCTAGTAATGATTGCTAAGGTATAGACCTATAACCACTCTTATGTAAGTGGATTATAAAAGCCTTTTTCCATATTGTAGGGAACAGACCTTGTTTGAAGAAGAAATTAAAAAGTTGTGTTAAAGTCAAATACAGATTTTGTGCACAACTTTTCAGAAAGCATGTAGGAATCATATCTGGACTATAACTGAGAGAAGATTTTAGATTAATCAAATAATGTAATACACATCTTCCTCAGAAATAGTTGGTAAATTATTGTAATTATTGTTGTTAAACATAAGTGAAGCTGATAGATGGGCAAACCACTTCGAGAGTTAGTAGTAGAATAATTTCATTTGCTTTTTAATGATTTAAGCCAAATATGAGAACCCACAATTGTTTTATAGCCTCCAACTAATAAATGAGCAACCTCAATACGCACACTAAAAATTAGAGCAGCTCCAATGAAATATATATGTATATGTATACATATATATATTTAATATATATGTACATTGCCGTGTACGGCATAAAATTTCCAATAGACCCTTGTTATTGATTTGCAATTAACAGTGTTCTCTACAGGGCCGTATAAAATGCAAATATGTTTGTATCTAAATAATATTATATGTATGTGTACATGTGCATGTACACATTGCTTCGCAAAATTTTGACGGTCATTAGTAAGCTCATGCGCGAGACAATATTTTCATTGCTGATTCAGCAATGAAAACAGAAAAGTGGTGCTGTGCTTTTTGAGAAAATAGTGAAAAGAGTATTAATAAAAATTTAAAAGTTTATGGCTTTGCACAATTGTTAAAGAAGTTTCCCATAAAATTGCATACCTTTAAATTAAGACACGATTAAAAACTTTGTTAAAAATGGAGAAATTACATGACTACCAGGGAATATCTGGTCGTTTACATAGTTGGCGCGAGTCGATTAAAGAACGAATTTCAAATTACAAAGAAAGTGATTCAACTAACATATTAGAAACTTTTAAAAATACTGCAAGTAGCCACTTAAAAGGAAACATAAGTGCATCACAAGATTTTTCACATATATACAGGTAATTTAACAATATGAGGAAGTGTGGCCTGTTTTAATATATTGAAAGTGCGGATATCAAGAGTAAATATATATGTATTTTGCAACTATAACGCCTGGTAACCTATCACAGTGCAACATTTTTCTGGTCACCAATTCGGGCATAGAGCTAGAGTTTCTGCGTCTCTACTTTTGACAGTTTAACTGCCGTTCTTATATTATGGCCTCATATATTTGTTGACTCTAAATATACTTAGAACGGACCTAATGGCTCAAAAACACATAAATGCCAATTATCTCCCATTTTTGGTTAATAATTCGGCTATATGCAGATCCACAAAATTTATTTTATACTTAGTTTGGTATATATTTATGGAAGAAAGAAAACATATGCTAATTCTTAATACTTTGAAAAATGATTTTATTTCTTAGATCCAAACAGATCTTCCAGTTAGATATGTGTGTTCTTCATATTTGATTTTCTCCATTATATCCTGCAATGTTTTATAGATTTCCTTCATATTTAAGCCAAACTCCACCAGAACGGAAGATTGTTGTTTGTTTTGTGCAGCAGCACAGCCTTCAAACTTAAAAGTGAACCATCTATAAAAATGTCATGTGCGTTATAATAGAATTCCAATTTATTAAGCAATTTTGGAATATCGTGGTGGTAAGTAAAATTATATGTCGAGGTGAACGGTATACAATTTTTGAAAACGTCCATGAAGAGCAAACATTTTGCTGTGTTGTAAAATCTTCTGGTGCGATAAATTTGCACCATCTTTGGAAGATCGGGTGTCTAACCTATATCGTACATATCAGTTGGGTTAGTGAAATCAGTTGCTGGCGCCTTTGAATCTTTATCTATCTGTTTAATCCAACATCAGCTTGGATAACATCTGGTTTCATCATGTCTGGTTGGGGTTTTTAACACAAACTACTGTCTTCGAAACTCCTCTTTTTTGTGCATCCAACCCACAAGCTCTGTTCTGCATATAATATTATTTTGAGACACTGGATGATCTTTTTTCGGCAAGTTTGCTTTACATTTTTCCTCTCGTTCCATATCTACAAAAATAAATGCTCAAAATCAACTTTGAGCTAGGAAATATTATATTTGAGGTCATAAAATCCGGCAGCTAAACTTGCAAAAATAATGACGAAGATATTTCAGCAACAATAGCCAAAGCCTATGCCCCTGAGTATGTGTTGCACTAAGTCTAACGTAGCACTCGTATTGATCCTTTTCCTATTGTCTAAGTCAACAATACTTCAAGTATCTCTGTGTTGTGCTATTTCGGCCTAAATAATGAATAAAGAGTTTAATACATAATAAAAGTGTTTGTTATGGGTTGAGCATCGACTCATTGGATGTATTCATCGTCAGAGCTGGAGTTTAGAGAAAGCTCGTAACTGGATGGTTGTTCGAACCAATAACACAAATATCATCAGCTTTTTAAACTCAGTTGAAAGTATCTACATAGGCAAATTAAAAATGTCCATTGTGATGCTACATAAAAGTATTTTCCTAAAAGATCGAACACTCTTTATAAAGCGAAACGGTAACTGCATAAAGCAAATCAATAAATGTTTTTAATCTCATAATAGAGTAATGCGAAGAAATGAATAAAAGGCAATATTCTGAGGGCTTACGAATGTCTACTATAGTTTGTAGCGATAATAACGCTTCCATCGATAAACAAAAAAAAAGCTCGCGAATTGGGTAGAACAACCACATATCAGGCACCCACCTAACAATGTAACTAGAAAAGCACAGGAAAGAGATGAGCAAAAGCAGAAAAATATGTCATTGCTAAGGCACCGCTAAGCAATGATAAAAGTAAAGAACCATTAAATAGAAACATATTTTTTAAGTGAAGACAACAATAAACAAAAGGCATATCTTGGTATCTTATGAGAAAAAGCCTGAAGTTGAAAGAAGTAGAACGAAGCACTTCACAAAACGGAAAAATTTTCCCAACCCATTAGTTAACACTTTGTGCAACACATGTGGAAATTCGTGAGTGCAGTGAAGAGATATTCCCGCCATGTAACGAGATCGTCACAGATAATTCAAGCTAACACGTTTTTAATTTAGTTTTGAGACATGCATACTTACTTGATTTAAGCAGATTAAGTAAACGTACTAAAAAACCTTACTCATATATGTCACATTTAAAGGACCACAAAGGTACTTTTTAGGAGTAAGATAGAGCAAAGATGGATGACATCAGCTTTAAAGAAAACTTTCGCCTGAACAAAGAAGCCTTCCAAAAGTATACAAAAAACTTGAACCAATGGAAAAAGAATAGAGTCGCTATTGCTTTGCATGCATTAGATTCGCATAATACCGAACTATTCCCAATTTATTTGGGGTTGGACTATCTACGTGTACAGTAGGAGAAATAGTGTTGTGAAATTGGAATGCTGTACACAATAATATAGCCGACTGTATAAATTCCTATTCCCGAGACCCAAAAGAAATCATGAAAAATCTATCCCATTCTTACATCCTCAAAATCAAAAGTAAGGACATTCAGCAAAAATACCGAAGTGGATCTACAAGTTTTACAGTGCCAACACAAGAAAGGACTAATCACATACCCACTAATCAAGAGAATACAACAAAAAATGGCAGCTTCAGAGAGCTCAACATTTTACGATAACCTTGCTGTACGGGGTCAAATTAATTTTTTGACAAAGTTCCCTGCTATTTTTCATTAAAAGAACAACCGCAGCGAAAGAAATGAAATTACTTCTATATATAGTGGTATAAAAGAACTACTAAAACCTCCACCGATGCTTATGCATTAGTAAAAACCCTTTTTAGTGAAGTCCGGAAAAATGTACTGCCAATTTGTTTGGCACTATTGCAAGTTTTTTGTACTTCCGTCTCTCTCTACTTTCCATGCTATAATAGGCCATGATTTGTTAACGCTTACATAAGATTTTTAGAAGAGGAAATCAATTACCGATACAGGATCGGAAGAAATACAATATTAAGGTTGTGCTAATGTGAATTTCATACCAGTAAAGGGCATAGAAGTTCTACTAAATATAAAACAGCTGCAACAAGCTTTAAAAAATGTTTCAGATTAAATTGCAGTTTTTTCTGAATCGAACGAATCACTTCCTTTTTTCGCTACTATTCGCAGTGGCCAGTGCAGTGCAAAAATGGTTCAAGCAGCTCACGACTTCCTGTCTTAAACAAGTATCCCCTGAATAGCCAACAAACATCCGAGAAAGAAATATGAGAAGGGAAATCCCATGCGGTTGCGCGTAGGGCTCGGCTTACTACGTAAAAAGTATACTCGAATGAAAAACTTTTATATACGTCCGCAAATGTTTTAAGGATTACTATTTGAAGTGATGCAACTGGAATGTCCGGTCCTTTTATTGTGAAGACGCCCAGCTGGTGAATGTCCTTATAAAGTTATAGGCTGGCATCAGCGTAGTCCAAGAAGTGTGATGGACGGGTCAAGGACGGAAGAAGATGGTCCCTTTTGACATATACTACAGCGGCGAAAATTTATTTATTTATTATTTTAATTTTATTTACTTGGTCTTTAAACAACTTTTTGGAGAAGTCACAACAAAATACAAAGAAAATAATTGGGATTTCTTATACACTGACGGCTCCAAAAACAAGACCCACACCGGATTCGCAGTAGTTCACGGTGACTGAACATCTTTAAAACCCGGTGTAGATTTTCCATACTGCTCTGTGTTTACCGCTGAAGCTTTAGCGATTAAGATTCTGTGGCAATCTATGCCAAAGCAAACAGAGGAAAATTTAGAGCAGAGACAGCAGATCCACCATAGACGCAGTACTCAACTTTTACAACAACAGCGATCTAATAGCGGCAATACGAAGCAACCTTATCCAAAACCCCAATAAAATATAAACTATGTGGGTTCCTGACCATATAGGAGTTAATGGAAACGAACACGCAGATGCAGTGGCTTCAACCGCCCATATGTAACCTTTACAAACATTCTACACCGCTGATCAAAGATTCATCAAAAAACATCTGCTGCAACAAAAAACTTTAGAATGACTCTCATATAATTACCGCTACAGCCGGATAAACACTGATGGATCTAAGGCCAACTATCCACTATCTTGTTCACGACAACAAAACCAAATCTTTGTTCGTTTACGCTTGGGACGCACTAAACTTACCCACAAGCACCTGATATGCAGTACTTCACCACCTGTCGATTCTGCAATGGCCCGTCATCCATCGAACACCTTCTTAATAACTGCCCCAGACTAAAAGACATCCGCCTTAAAGTATTTAAACAATCAACCCCTACCGATCTCTTAAAAGAACCTTCTCAATATAAAATTATATTATTTGAAAAATTTATGTAAACCTGTAATTTAACACATTTAACTTTGTTTATTAACAGACAGAAAGCCCTTGCAGCTGGTGCTCTTCTTTGTCTTAATTATAAGATTTTATATTTTATAATTAATTATAATAAATAAATAAATAAATGTGTCCAATAAGATATAATCCTTACTTGTACAATGATACAAACATAAAACAAAGTATAATAATATAAGTATAAGTAGTAATTGAAACAAAAATATTAATGAAGTTAATGTACATTCTCACAAACAATTCCTTATTGAAAAAAGATGAGTTCCTATTCCTATTAAAAGGATTTTTTATTGTCTTTGTGTAGCTAGGAATAAGATTTAATGAACGTGCATTCTTAGAGAAGTTTAGCGTATTATTCAGATATTCCGGGTTCTTACTTGAAAACATATAAAAAAATGCAATCACGCGCGTTTAAGGAATTTTGCATATCACAGCAAAATATAGAATAGCTCATAGATGAGAAATGATCGTAATTTGTTGTCGGATTCGTTGTGGAAGAGAAAGACTCCGTCACCGCCACAATCCGCATCAAAACATCATTTTTCAATACGACGCTGATTTGTGCGGAAGAGACGCACGATGTGACCAAGGATACCATTTATGAGTGACTCGTGCATACTTATGAGCGCTGCCC